CCCCAAAACCCCAAAACCCCAAAACCCCATGATTGGCTATAATTCACATATTAGACTAAATAATAATATAGTAATAGATAAAATGGAAAAAGAAAGCAACACTGAGGCTTATGTAGATGTCTTCATATCTGAAGCCAGAAATTCTTAAATTACCGCAACAATTAAAGCTCTGTCAAAGATGATTGAGACTTGGGAGGGTAAAACATTTTAAGGACTATTGAATGACTTTGAACCTGCTTGCAAACGACTTTTACAGTTATCGCAAGAGAGAGGTATCCTTGATGGCAAGACTGCCCTCACTATGAAAGCCGTAATTGCTATCTATCAGAGATTAGTCAAGAATGTATATACTCTCCATGAAGATAAAGAAATAGAATTCATAAAGGAAATTATATAAGAGAAGAGCATGATATTAACTCAACATTCAATTACTGCAAAGAATAGAATTTCTCAAAATGCTAAAGCTTTGATGAGAGATGGGATGGTAAGATAAAATTGTATAATACTTTAACTAGACAGTATTGATTCACGGACATTCATCAGTAGTTATGCATACCCTCATCAAAGCAGTACAAAGAGGCATTAAGTTTGATGTGGTAGTGACTCAATCATTGAACCACTTAGGATAAAATGTGAAAAAGATTTTGGAAAATCATAAAATTCCAACAAAGGTCATTCAAGATTCAGCTATCGCTTTAGTTATGCCAAAAGTAGATTGCATTTTCGTTGGGTGTGAAGCTGTGGTTGAAAATGGAGGTATTATTAATAAGATAGGCACCTTCACTCTAGCCTTGGTTGCTCAAACATTTTAAAAGCCCTTCTATGTCTTTACAGAATCTCTGAAGTTCATGAAAGAATTCCCATTGAAATAGGATGATGCACTTAGGCTTGCTTCAAATGGAAACGAAGTTGACATTGAGAACATCTTGATAGATTATACCCCGCCTGAATATATCACCTTACTATTTACAAGTATTGGAATATTTACTCCTTCTGCGGTGAGCGATGAGCTCATAGAATTCTTCTCAGGTTGAAAGTAGACATAATTAGTGAATAAAAATTCAATAAAATTGAGTTGCTTGAATGAATATTAGTAAATTTAATTAAGTTGAAATATCTTAATTAGAGCAGATTTAAGGTGCACGGGGTTTTGGGGTTTTGGGGTTTTGGGG